ATCGAACCCTAACAATATGGCCATAGGCAATCCTAAGCCGGTTTCATGTCAAACCAATTTTGTTGCAGTTGTTGGACATGCTTAAGAACAAAAATCCCATCTCTTTTACCCGCCTCTTGTTTGTTGTCCTAACTCTGCCCTCCACTTTGACACACATCTTCTCCCATGCTACGGTTTTCTCCACGATTACTTCTTCGTATATTCAATTACAAATTTCCTCGATTGATCTTGATTCTTCCTCTCACGCCACGAACCCATTTTATCTCTTTTCCATGTTTGCCGGTGACTTCCATGATAGCCAGGCAATAGCTTCAAGCAAGGTAATACACGATGTGCCATCAGACTCCGGCTGTTGTTGGTAGTGAGATCACATATTTTGGATGCTACTCATGTAGCGGTTCATCTCATGGTGACACTCCTTCCCCGCGTCATTCCTTCTGCTTTGCGGAGGATCCTTAAGCATTATTCTTTTGAAGGTATCTTCTTTCTGAGTTCACTTCCTCCCATGCATTGGACTGGTTCAAGGAATGCTTCTAAACCGATTTGGAGCAACACAGATGGTCTCTCTTGTACTGTAAGGGAAAATAAAACACTGTGAATGGTTAACCCTAATGAAGAAGATGCAAAAGAACCACCAAAAATGTGGCAGCTCAAACATTTCCCAATTTACTAATAATAGTCCTTCCTTTCTAAAAAAAGCCGTTCCAGCAGGTTATTCTATGAATTGTTCTTGTAGGAGTGTTTTGTTCCAGCAAGTTATTGTCACATCATCTCTTGTTTGCTAGAACTAGAGCAATTAGAATATCATATTGGATCATATAGCAAGCTAAACTTATACTCCCTCCGTCCAGAATTACTTGTCATAGAAATAGATGTACCTAGATGATTTAAATCTAGATACATCCATTTTTATCCATTTGACGGAGGTAGTATTTAGATGTGGAGGTAGCTCATCCAATTGAACTGGTGTTGTTTGTGTCGGTTGAAATTTTTGGCTTTATTTCTTGACAACAAATACCAAAATTATGTGTTGAATACGTACAACTAAACCTGATCATGGACAGACCTGCCACAGCCCAGCCTGAAAAAAACTAGGCTGGGCCAGGCCGGGTTGGGCTTCATTTTATAGCCCAAAAGATCACTCTGGTTGAGCTTCGGGGTGGACTTGCACGTGCATAGACCAACAAACAACATTCAGACCGGGCTCAGGCTTGAGAAAAGTGCTATTTTAGGCCTCGAACTCGGGCTTATAGTTTTAGGATCGGGCTTTTGCAAGCTCGACCTGAAACCCAGCCCGACCCGACATATGATCTTTACTAGAACCTTAGATCATGCTGTATCACCCCCCCACTACTAGTTTGTCCAACACCGTTTTGTCCTCGTCTCTTATGCTTTGTCCTGCACACCACTTGACATCTTTGTAAGGTAATTCTAGTGACCCCCCCCCCCCTTGTGGCCACCTCTTTCTAACGTCGGAACCCTAAGAATAAGGCCATCACCAACCCTAAAATGGGTTCTAGTCCAACCAATTTTCACCTCCTCACCGGCAATATGATTCACAACTACAATATGATTCGATAATTCATCTCTGCCAGGAGAATATCATCCAAAAAGGAAATAGGATAACTGCTCTTCTTTTTTAGTTATTCTTTCTTTTGTTTTGTTTGTATATATGTACCATATTTACTTTTATTGATGGAAAATACCTTAGAACTATTGTTCTACGGTTTGGGCCTAAAAAATGACCCCCTCTTGTTCTTTGTCCTAACTTTGCCCTCCACTTTGACTCACATCTTCTTCCATGCTATGGTTCTCTCCACGATTACTTCTTCATATATTCAAATAAATATTTCCTCGCTTGATCTATATTCTTCCCCTCACACTATAAACACATTTACCTCTTTTCCATGTCGTCGACGTCAATGAATTCCATGATAATGCAATGACTTCATGCAAGGTACACGATGTGCTATCATGACTCCGCCTGTTGTTGGTAGGGAGAGCACATACATTGGCTACTACTCATGCGATAGTCAATCTCATGGTGAAACTCCTTCGCCGTGTTGTCCTCGCTAATTTGCGAAGGATCCCTAAGCATAGTTCCTTTTGACGTACCTTCTCCTTGAGTTCACTTCCTCTTGTGAATCAGAGCAGTTCATGGAATGCTTCTAACCGATTTATAGCAGCACAGATAGTCTCCCTTGTGTTGTAAGGAAAAAAGAAAACATTGTGCATGGTTAACCCTACTAAAGAAGATGCAAAAGAGCCACCATTAGTGTTCACAAAAGGTCGCAGCTCAAACATTCTCCAGTTTACTAAATAATAGTAGTCCCACCTATCTAAAAGAAAGTCCTTTCATCCGGATATATAAGAGGCATTTCGACCCATCAAGACAAAGGCTTTGATCAACACTTAATTTTACACGCATGTGCCTTATTCCACATATATTACTGTCATTTACTCATTTATGTTCAGAAAATATTTCCTATTATTGCGGTTGTGATTCAGCATCACATAAAGTAAATACGAATGACCCTCATGGATTAGCTTGTCTTGCTAGGAGGAACCTCCACTCGGCGGTGTGACAGCTTTGCCTTGCCTCCCCCTCTATTATCTGCTAAAAAAACCCTATATGAGTTATTATGTTTGGGGTTTTGACCTATGATTTATTATGTTGGAGAGCTTTGTACTTCCGGTGAAGCTTTATAATAGATCCAGGTCCTGTTACACACACAAAGAAAAACTCGGGGACTGTAAAAACATTAATATTTCTCATTTGATCAACAAAGCCCCAAATCTTATACTGTACTTTGACAAGCAAAAATATGTCCTGTAAAACCGAGACGAGAAAGTAATAATAACAAAAGAAAAACGAAATTTATGCTGCCGGTACAGAGACAGCATGGAAAAGCCGGCCACGGGGCCCCACTCCGCGATCTAAACAAGCAGAGAAAAACAAAGGGGGCCCCACCCGCGCCTCCCCTCCGCAACGTTTTTCTGCCCCTATTTATGCCCGAGACCTGCACCCCTCTCTCTCCTCGTGCCTCCCTCCACTCTCCTCCCCCACAACCTCTCTCCCTCTCTCTCTCCACCGTCTCCTCCCCCGACTCTCAACAAATCGAGCCAAACACCCGGCAAAATCCGGCCGTGCCGCGACGAGATCGACGCGTTCTCTACCGATCCGGCCGTCGCTCAAGCCCGAGGGTTCCCCGGTTCGTCTTCTTGGAGCAGAGGCACGCGGGGTGTGTGCGGGTGTTCTTGCGACATTTCGGTCGGTTCTTGGTGGCCGAGCCGAGCCTTTTCCTTTCCTCCTCCGCGCGATTCGGCCGGGCCTCGTCGAGGGGGTTCCTTCCCGGCCTAGATGGTGGCGAGGATGATGCGGTGGCCGCGGCCGCCCCAGGCGCGCAAGTTCCGCGTCCGGCTGGTGGTGCGGCGGGCGGAGGGGCTGCCGCCGCCCCCGCCGTCCGTGGAGCCCGCGGAGCAGGAGCAGAGGGTCGCGGCGGAGGTCAGGTGGAAGGGGCCGAGGGCGTCCGGCCTCGGCTCGCTGCGGCGCGCGGTGCGGCGCAACCGCACCAGGGGCGAGGAGCTGGCCGGCGGCGCCGTGGCGTGGGAGGAGGGGTTCGACAGCGCCGTCACGCTCGCGGCCGCGTCCCACCGGGAGGCCGCCGCGTTCCAGCCGTGGGAGCTCGCCTTCACCGTCTTCACCGTGAGCATCTCCTCCCCTCTCCTCTCCTTGCTGGAACTGGATTCCATTGCCTTCTCTTGATTGTTAATTATATCATCCTTAGAGGAGTAAAATTATTATTTTTCAGTTGCTTGAACGAATATGTGTAGTTGGTGGATGTCAATGGATCAATCATGGCGGGCAACTGTATTCCTGTTAATATGGAGCAAAATCTGATAGTAACATCACACCTTATGAAATATATGGACTCCTTATTATGTTTACCAGTAACGATAGCTACAGTTGCTTTTCTATGTGGCCATGGTATCATGTTTCCTGCTCTCAAATAACCCCTTCCAGAATGAATTTATAGCCTTGCGACCGAGTTCAATTGCGCCATGAACAATTGCAAATCATCCCTTAGCAAGTTGGCATATTTTGTTTTCAGTGATTTCTTCCAGTCAGTTTGTTTTGAGTGACTTCAGCAGGGAATCTGATATGCCTTGTTCTTCTTTTCCTTGTGGCAGGATGTGAACAAAGGCCCAAAGACTAAACCAACAATTCTGGGAACTGCTTCTCTTAGCCTAGCAGATTATGCATCAGCAGCCGAAGAGGATATTGAGATAATTCTCCCTTTGTCCGTGCCCTGTGGTGCGCCTGAGTCTGCTCCGTCGCTTCATGTGAGTTTTTGTTGTGAACAACAAGCTTCTAGCTAATGATTCTCGGCGTAAAAAAGAAAAACTCGTTTTAATTGCCGCCTGTGTGACTGACATCCTCTTTTTCATTGCAGCTCACTCTGAGCATGGTGGAACTGAGAGCTCATCAAGAAGCCTCTGATGCTTCACAACGGTCTGCTGTGGCCGCTCCGTTATCCCCGTCGTCTTGTGATTCTGTCCCTGGAGGAAAAGATGAGGTTTCAGTCATTAAAGCGGGGCTAAGAAAGGTAAAAATCCTCAGGCATATAGTGTCAGCTCGAAGGTCCAAGAAGACATTCCAAAGCGATGAAGGCAGTGAAGATAATTGCTATATTCACAGTGATGGTACCGAATATCCATATGGTACCGAGCCTGTGGATGAAGATCTTGATGATAGAACACATGAAGATGAAGTTGCGGATTCAACTATCAGGAAGTCGTTCAGTTATGGTTCACTGCAGTCTGTCAACCATGTTGGTGACCATGAGGACTGGGTCTATTACAGTCACCGGAAATCCGATGCCGGTTACCATGTAGATGAACCACAGTCATCAACTGCTGTGGGAACTGTGTTGCCAACTGCCAAACGGAGTATCCTTCCTTGGAGAAAGAGGAAACTGGGTTTACGGTCACTAAAGGCTAAGGGTGAACCTCTGTTGAAGAGAGCAAATGGAGAAGAGGGAGGTGATGATATTGACCACGATCGTCGGCTGCTAACCTCTTCCGATGGATCACAGGTAAAATTTCCTCTTTTTCTTTTCATTGCATTGTGAAAAAATAGTCAGTATCCTGTTCTTTGGCCCAGAGGCCTTGTTGTATACCACAGAACTGTTTTTGAATGTCCATAACTTGCGCTGAACAATATTTCTTTCAATTGCAGCGATCAAGAAGCGAAGATGGGTCAGTTCATGGTATGATGTCAGAATTTGGCGATGACAATTTTGTTGTGGGGAACTGGGAATCAAAGGAGGTACTTAGCCGTGATGGTCATATGAGGCTTTCTTCCCAGGTGTTCTTTGCGTCAATAGACCAGAGAAGTGAGCGGGCTGCTGGGGCAAGTGCATGCACGTCACTTGTGGCTGTCATTGCAGACTGGTTCCAGGCAAATCAGAATCTGATGCCTATCCAGTCGCAATTTGATAACCTGATCCGAGAAGGATCACTAGAGTGGAGAAACCTTTGTGAGAACAAGACATACCGAGAGCGTTTTCCTGACAAGCACTTTGATCTTGAAACTGTCCTTGATGCCAAGACCCGGCCACTTACAGTCTCCCCCAGCAAGTCATTTATCGGATTCTTCGTACCCGAAGGAGCTGATGACATGGGAGGACTTGACTTCCTCAATGATGCCATGTCCTTTGATAACATCTGGGATGAAATCAGCCAGGCAGCAGAGGCCTCATCCAGTGACAACCCTAACCTATATATAGTGAGCTGGAATGACCACTTTTTTCTCCTCAAGGTTGAGCGTGATGCATATTACATCATCGACACCCTTGGAGAAAGGTTCTACGAAGGATGCAGCCAGGCCTACATTTTGAAATTCGACGACACCACCATGATTCACAAGGTGTCCGACGAGAAGAAGGCGCAACCTAGCCCCGACTCAAGCGGGCCGCTGAAGGGTTCTTCAAGGAGCTCCTCGTCCGGGCAGGACAGCGAAGACGACGACATCGAAGAGAACGTACTCGTGTCGAAGGGCAAGGAGTCGTGCAAAGAGTACATCAAGAGCTTCCTGGCGGCCATACCGATCAGGGAGCTACAGGGGGACATCAAGAGGGGAACGGTGGCATCGACGCCGCTGCACCACCGCCTCCAGATCGAGTTCCACTACACCGAGGCGGTCCCGGCAGAGGTTGCCCAGCCGCCACAAGCCCTCACCATCGAAGCTCCGTTTGAGTTCTCATGGCCCGAGCCGCCGCCGGGGATGGAGCTCGCCCTAGCACCGGCGGTTGCCGTGGCATAGCTTGCCACTGCGCTGGCTGAGTTTTTTCCATGGAGGGGAACCTACTCGAAGATTTTGCTGCCTTTTTCCCCCTGTATGTGCTCGTTCCATGTCTAATATGACCTGACTAGTATAGGTTTCCCGTCATCACAGGCATCGGAGCCAGCCGCCTGCATTTTGTACAAAGAGGCGATTGCTCCTGCCTATCTTGTATTAACCGGATGATCTTTGTAATCACGCATAACCCTTGTACTAATCGATGAGGAATCCCATCATCTTACTGAAGTTTTGACCTTGTTTCTGTATGCAAACTTGGTGTGAGGAGCAGAGATTGCTGAAACTCTGAGCCGTCTGTCGATGCTGCCTGAAAATGACTGCCCGTTCTTGATGTAATGCTGTTGCTGAAACTTTTTGGCTCGTGCTGGTGCTGTTGGCTGTGGCTTCTTGACGGTGAGGCATCGTCCAGACGTGCCGGGTTACCGGAACCAAAGCTGTCACCAGCGTGAAGTACATCTTCAGTGAATGCGACGCACGAGCTGCTGCAAAATGCGGATCAAAAGCATCCTCCAATCTTTTTGTGGATCGTCATGTGATCTCGCCAGCTCGTGATACTGTTAAATGGCAGTTGATTCTTCTACATACCTTTTGATGAATACTGGCTTTGTTTTCTTAATTTGCAGGGCAGGTTTGGAATTTTCGGTAGAGAACATCGGTATCGCGGGCCTGAGTTTTTAATTTGTAGTAACTCATTTCGTCACATGCTGACTTTAATATAATTTTGCCGCTAGAAAAACCATTGATTTGTCTGAATATAATGGTGCATTTGAAAAATTGTCATAGTCGTTCATACTTGGTCAGAATATGATTAGCTCAGGAGTGATGTAACAGCCAGGACACGCATAACCGAGCTGGGCGGCCAATTAGTGCTCACAATGCATGTGTTGGACAAGGAATATAATGTTATTTTTCTCCTAGTTTTATACTATGTGAATGTCCCCTTCACAATCACAATCTTTCTGTAGTTAAGCTGGCATAGTAGTATTTACTATTTTGTGAGCGACTTCGACCTTTTGTCCTGTGACAAATTTCTAAGAAGAGAGCACACAAGAAAACCATGGCATGCCTAGGAATTGGGTACATCATAATCATTTGATACAGGCTGCTGCCTAGCTGTACAAGTGCTTCTCATGAAGCAAGTTTACCAAGTTAGCAAGTTTCGGGCATAGATAGATAACCCAGATTTCAGGGTCTAGGTTCGGCTAAAGATGACTCGGTTAAGGACACAGATCAGACACAAGCTCAACAACTCCCCGCATCGACGCATCATTCTGCATAGAGTTGAATCACCATAGACATATGATGTGAGAACTGGGAACTAAACAAGGTGTATAACCATGATAATTAAAGTCATTGCAGTGTACTAAACCATATCTCACCAGATAAACAATGTCAAATGCCTTGGAGTAATCTTTCAGAGATTTCTCAATGTTGGTATTCCTGCAAAACCGGTCGTTTGTCAATTGATGCATAAATCTGTAGGAAAGTGAATCCTGTCACTCACACCTGTTATTAAACAAGATTTGAACAAAGCACTTGCTTTCCAAAAATTAGCAGTCAAAGTTTGATAAGAAGAATATACGGTTTCCTTGGTTAAAATGGTTTATTTAATGTTGATTAGTCACATGGAGTTCCATGTGACGCGATGAAATTTTGGCTTGCATTGGTTAAAAGGAAACTAGTACAGCACAAACATCAGCGTTCTTGTGATTGCTAAGCTTTGATGCAACTGCAAAGAAACTTTACTTTAAAGAAAAGACAGCAATTTATGTCCAGAGCTTGTTAAGTATATAAATCTGCAAAAAATTAATGAAGATGACACGTCTAACTCACACTTCTGCCAACAAAATAAGCTACTTATATTATATGACAAGAGTCAAAAGACAAATGGGGAGAAGTTCAGCTTGAATTTTGGAAAGTACGTCATGGGTAGAGCAAAGTCAGGATTATATAAGCTTAGAATACGTCATGGGTAGAGCAAAGTCAGGACTATATAAGCTTAGAATACCCCCCCCCCCCTAGAGTATACAGTAGAAAAAAAATGTATATGACCCATTGGATTGTTTAGTAATTTACTCGGTTCATCGCAATAACTAATCAATTTCAGTATCAGCAGGAGTTGTCCCCACATTTTCTACGTAAATTCTATATATTGCAAATGACCAAATCCATCGAATATAGACTTAACCAGAATAAAAAATATTATGTGATTATTCTCAATATGTTTAATTGTAATTTCTTTGAATGAATCAAGCAAAAGGCAAGCAAAATGGAAATTCACATACAGGAATCCAGCAGCAATCCTGTTCTCGTAGTTTAAACCATCAGACATTCCCAGGTCTCCAATGTGATCTCCAAGTAGCAGCACGTTGGTCCTCTTTTTCACCAATGAATAGTCATCAATAGAACCATTTGGATCCCCCAGACTGTCATGCACTGGAGCTGCCATGTCCAAGGAATGCTCATTTTTGTTTAGAACATGAATTGTCTTCCCTGCATTAGACGTTATTTAGATTCTATGAGGTAATGAGAAGGTAAGAAAAATGCATACTTGGCGTAAACAAGTGTTATCATCAGTTTGAAAAGATTGTTTATGGAAAAGTGATAAAGGGTATCCATATCAACGGAGATACACAATACAAATATAGAGTGGTCTTTAGACAAAGGTCCAATGAGACAGTCAGGTAACAGCAAACCAACAACCGTACTTTTGGATCTTAGAGATTTCACATGTCACATATTTTCATAAAATAGAATTTGTTCAATGTAGGACAACTGCATGAAACTACTATTTTTTACGAGTTGGATATTATGAACATATATCCTGCATTCACATTTGGTAGAAACAATCCACGAATCATAGACACTTGTTGAGGATTAAAAATCACCTTTAAATGCTACAAGAGAACCCTCTTCATTAAAGACCATTCTATTGGACACAATCTTGATGTTCTTGAATGATCGGTGGAGTTTCTGCCGGAAGACCTAAAAGGTAGAGCAGGCGTGTCATCTGCAACGAAGTTCGTTCAACATTTGGTTTCGTTCCTTTTAGAAGTTACCTCCTCAATGATGTCTGCAAGTCCAGCCGAAAATACTAGCACTGGAATATCTCTAGCCTGAAAATTATATTTAAAGGCTTTATCAAACACTTATGTCTTAATTGTAGCCATAACAGCAACAGTTGCAGGGTTTTATTAAACTAGCCATAACAGAGGTTCATTCTTCATATCTCCCGAAAATGTTGTGATCTCAGGCAAGCCAACTTGATCTACCAATAATATCACTTCATTACCAACATATATGCAAGAAAAAAAAAAGAAATAAGCGCCAGAAAACTCCAGGAAACAACATATTCTTTGTTGCCTAAAATAACGTGTGCCTAGAATATGAAAGATTCCATCCAATGATATAAACAGAAGACGGGAAAGATAAGAAACAGACCAAGGGAAAATTACATAACCGCAATTTAGGCTCTCTTATGCTTGTATGAATGTGTCTAATAGCTTCAGCAGGATGATTACTTTACTTCTCAAATCCGAAGTCAAACTTGCTGAAACGCGAGAAGATGAATTCCACGCTCATATGCACAGCCAAAAGCAGCCTATGGTTCTTTTTTCACTCAGCACATGCATTCTTGTGGATACAAGTAATCACTCAACAAAAGAATCCAAAATAGCTATCCAAATGGTTTATAAAAGGGAGTGATGTTTGTTGCCTTCCTATTCGACAAATTCATCACGGGGATTTTTTCTCTCTCTTAACACAACAAAATAACTACCGATGGACTTAACCATACCAAAATAACCAGGGACAAAAGTAAATATGCATGTTCCGAATGAGTACACCATCAAACCCTTGGTCACTAAAACTGGAACACTAAGCAAACATTAGAAAGGAAATAAAACCTCCAAAAATTCAAACAGCTCCACCACTCCATCTCGAAAAGCAATTGCAGCATCAGCCACCGATTTCTTTATAGCATTTTGTGTAAGCCCCCCTTCAATAAGGAGACCATGAGTCTTCCCCCACCTGTAGCAAGTAATGAAATCAGGGGCCAAGGTACAATACACAGAATCTTTAATTGAAATGCATATTTTATTCGAAAGTGAAATCATATACTGGATAACAGGATCAATGGCATGAAAACATCAAAAGCGAATCAAGAAAACTACCATAAGAAACATTACTATTTCTGTTATAATGGGTTTCACATATATAAACACAAGTACATATTTATTAATGTGCATTTTCCTTTGAGAGAACTGTTTGTGAAACTGATCACACTTGAATTGGCGTCTGCTAACTACGAGGAGGCAGCAGAATACAAACTATCTTTAAAAAGACTTCAGAACAGCGCCTTTAAATAGAATAATATGCAATGCTGATATAAAAAACTATTAGACTGACAAACCATGTGGGTCACAAGAAAACTATCTTTAAAGAACGACCAATGTACAAGCACCACCTCTTGACAAAAAAGACTTCAGAACTAAACAATCATGTATCCAACATGTCATTGGACAAGCAGAACAGACACTTTCAGTGTTCACTTTACACGCTCCACATTTTGCTGTGGAAGACTTCCAACTACTGCTACTCACCATTCTTCCATGAGCTTGGCCTTCTCCAGCAGCGGGATGTCGGGGTTGATCTCGATGGGGTGGTAATGCTCGAACAACGCCTCCCTCTTGGCGTCGAACTCTTCATTCCCCTGTCTGAGCAGCCCATGGCTACCTACGACCACACATACACACACATGCCCTCAGGACAATTCAATCTCTGAAGTCCTAAGCTCCCAAGTCTGACGAGAAATCAGCAGAAACGAGGGGCGTACTCTGGCCGCGGGAGCCGTCGTACCAGTACCGAGTGAGCGTGCCGTCGAAGTCGGAAATCACCTACACCAATGGAAGAACCTATTCAGATTGCAAATCCATAGACAGAGGCCACATAGGCGGTGAGACTAGCGAGGGAGCGAACCTGCAGCTTAGCTGGGCCGGCGGCGCGGATGGCGGCGACCTTGCGAGCGAGCGCGTCGGCGTCTGCGACGACGGAGTCGGGGGCCCTGGCGCTGGAGGAGGACATGGAGGCTGGGAGGCGGCGGCCGAGGGGCCGCGGTGTCGTAGGGTTCCGGCGGCGAGGGGCGCGGGAGAAGAGGCGGCGGAGGAGACGGCAAGGGGATGGGGAGAGGAGCAGTGGGCTCGTCATGGGCCTCATTCCGAAATGGTGGGCCGGAGCAAGACGAATCCCTCCCTCTCTCTTACTGTAGGGCGTTTGTGTTTGTTTCCCTTGGGAGAGAATGTCGTCGGCGGCGCTCCGCCGCCACCTCCTCCGCATTCCCGCCCGCCGCCGCCGCCTCCTCTGCGCCTCCTCCTCCTCCTCTCCCTCGAAGCCGACCAACGGCTGCCATGGCTCCGCGGCGGCGGGGGCGGGGGTGGTGGAGCTGAACCCGCCGCGCGGCACGAGGGACTTCCCGCCGGAGGAGATGCGCCTGCGCACCTGGCTCTTCGACCACTTCAGGGAGGTGTCCCGGCTGATGGCGTTCGAGGAGGTGGACTTCCCGGTGCTCGAGTCCGAGGCGCTCTTCGTCCGCAAGGCTGGGGAGGAGATCACGGAGCAGCTCTACAGCTTCGAGGACAAGGGCGGCCGCCGCGTGGTCCTCCGGCCGGAGATCACCCCGTCCCTCGCGCGCCTGGTCATCAGGCGAGGCACCTCGGCGCCCCTCCCGCTCAAGTGGTTCACCATCGGCCAGTGCTGGCGCTACGAGCGCATGACCAGAGGGAGGCGCCGCGAGCACTACCAGTGGAACATGGACGTCTTCGGCGTGCCCGGCGTCCGCGCCGAGGCCGAGCTTCTCCAGGCCATTGTGCTCCTCTTCGAGCGTCTCGGGGTCGTGTCCTCCGACGTGGGGATCCGGCTGTCCAGCCGGAAGGTTCTCCAGGTGGTGCTCGACATGTACTCCGTGCCGCAGCACCTGTTCACTCCGGTCTGTGTGATTGTTGACAAGCTGGGGAAGATGAGCAGAGAGGAGATTGAGAAGGAATTGATCTCCACTGGACTGCCATCTGAAGCTGTGCAGGGCATCATCGATGTGCTTTCTCTGAAGTCACTGCCTGAGCTCGAAGAGGTGCTGGGCTCTGGTGGTGCTGAGGCTGTTGCTGACCTGAAGAAGCTCTTCTCCTTCGCCGAGCAGTATGGCTATGCCGATTGGCTATGTTTCGATGCATCGGTTGTTCGAGGTCTTGCATACTACACGGGGATTGTTTTCGAGGCTTTTGATAGGCAAGGGGAGCTGAGGGCGATCTGCGGTGGCGGGAGGTATGATAGGCTGCTTTCAACATTTGGTAGCGAAGATGTGCCGGCCTGTGGGTTTGGGTTTGGGGATGCTGTTATCGTCGAGCTGCTGAAGGAGAAGGGCCTTCTGCCTCATCTGTCGCGCCAGATAGACGACATTGTCTTCCCGTTGGATGATGAGCTTCAGGGACCTGCATCCTGTGTCGCATCCTCTCTGCGCAAGAATGGCAGATCTGTAGACCTTGTGCAAGATAAGCGTCTGAAATGGGTGTTCAAACATGCAGAGAGGTTAAATGCCAGCAGGCTGGTTTTGGTGGGGAAATCTGAGTGGGAGCGAGGCATGGTTCGTGTGAAGATTCTGTCTACCAAAGAGGAATTTGAGGTCAAGGCAGGCGAATTACAGTAATTGCTAGCCAATCTGGAGGTTTTCCTTCCAAACCTTGCCCATATTTTCTTCGTTTTTGTTGTCTACCTCTGTTAGTCCTCCCTTTGCAACATTTTAAGCTGTGCCTTCAATGCCATATTATAGAGTAAATATCATGGAACCATTATAGTTGAGGCTTATGTTAAGATAAGCGCAACTCCAAGAAATTGTGATCTAATTGAGATGAATATCATATTCGTAAGTTGAATTGTATACCGGACAACTGATCAATGGCATGGAAACATCACGAGTGCATCAAGAATACTACCATGATAAACATTTTTTTGTCAGTTGTGAACAGTTCTGTATATATAAATATAAACACATGAATTCAGAGAATTATTTGTGAAGTTGATTGAACTGCCTTCTGCTAACTACTACTCCCTCCGTACCAAAATATATTTTAACGTCATATATTTTGGTACGGAGGGAGTAGTAGTAAGTACTCCCTCCGTTCCAAATTACTCGTCGCAGAAATGGATGTATTTAGAACTAAAATACATCTAGGTACATCCATACATGCGACAAGTAATTCGGAACGGAGGGGGTAGCAGAATACAAAATAATTCAGAACACTGATACAGTGAGCTAATATGCCTGACGAACTATGTGGGTCATAAGAAAGGTAGGCTCTAAAGGACGACCAACGTACATTCACCATCACCTCACAAAAGAAACTTCAGAACTAATCAATCATGTATCCAAGTTATTATCCCATTTATCATGTTTTGGATATGTAAATATAAACATTTATTAACTATTGTGCATTTTTAGATAATTGTTTGTAAAATTGATGGCACATGAATTGGCTTCTGCTAACTACTAGCAGTTAGCAATACAAAATAAGCTTACTAATACAAGACTAATATGCCTGATGAACTATGTCCGTCACAAGAAAGCAAGCTCTAAAGAATGACCAATGTGCAAGCACCATCACTGGAACAAAAAAAAGGACTTCAGATCTAACAACCAGTACTCAAGTTATTACCCCGTTTATAATGTCTATACTCTGGAACTCGCAACCTTGATCACATGACCCAAATGGAAAATCCGAGGCGCCATTACTGCGCTGCTCCACCCCGATGCGGGATCCAGCTTCGCCTGCGGGAAGCTTTGAATGGAGCTCTCCAGAAAAGGGGGAGATCCATTCCCCGACCAGCGGTCCGTCCCAGGTGCCGGCGACCCCGTCCCCCCCTTCGCCGCGCGGTCCGAGGAGCCCTCCCCGCTCCCCTCGCGGATCTGGCGCCTGCGACCCCGAGGCTGGCTTCGGACCGGAGGACGGGGACGCGCCACCCCCGCCTGAGCGCCCCCGTCTCAAGTCCATTGTGGTACGTGATTCCTCCTTGCCATTTCCGGCCAGCGACGATATTGAAGAGGGCTGGACGCTCCATCAATCCCGCAAAAACAGGAGGGCCAGTAGAGATCTGATGGGCTCCAGCCAGCTCTAGAGCCACCGACGCCGACGCTCCATCCCCGGTCGGCTCTCCTCAAAGGGCAGGGAGGCCTTCTTTAGTAGATTCAAAGGCCTCTGCTTCCGCTGCCTTACTTCTGAACATCGTAGAATTGACTGCCGCGACCCATTGCGCTGCATTATCTGCAAACTCCAAGGCCACTACGGCCGTGACTGCCCTGAAAATCCCCGCAACAAGGCTGCGCGCAAGCAGGGCGTGCGTCCGTGCGCCCAGAACCGGCCGGTCCGCGAGCGCCTGATCTTCCTGCCGTCCCCGACCCTGCGCCCGGCCTGTCCGGTCGACGAGCGCCTCGCCATGGAGCCTGCACCCCTCATCGACCACAACCGCCGCCCCCGCAACAGCCACAAGGTCATCGCGTCCTCGCCAGCCATCGAGCACCAGACGTTCCTGCTCCTCCAGCATGCCGTGGTCGTCACGGCGGTGGGCACCACGGCGCATGCCGCCAGTCCGCTGTCCATCGGCCGCGCGCTCGAGAAGGAGTTCAAGATCCCACCGCACCTTCTGCGCGTCACCAACCATGACCCCGAGGACTTCTTCGTCTTCTTCACCATGCCGGCGCACAAGGATCTCGCTGTGCGGCAGGGCTCGCTGTCGGTGGATGGCGTGCCCTTCCTGCTTGAGCCCTCGCGAGAGGACGCACATGCTGTCCGCCTCAAGTGGATGCTGCATGTGCGTGTGGTCATCGAGAAGCTCCCCATGAACCTCTGGACGCTTGAGGGGGCGGGGGAAGCCATTGGTGACAAGGTGATCGTCGATCGCTTGGACAGCCGGACGCACGAGCGCGTCGACACCAAGCTCTTCGCATGTTGGGTCTGGTGCTGGGACACTGCCCATATCCCCACTAGACGCACCATTTGGAAGCACGCCAGGGGGCGGGCCGCATCGACGAGATGCTGGGCCACTCCCCTCCGAGCCGCGCGGTGGCTCCTCCGCCTGAGCTGCTGCAGTTTGACTTGCTCCTTCATTTGGACCGTGTCGAGGACTGGACACCACTCTCGCCGCGATCCTCGCGCTCCCCGCAGAGTGGCATCCCCTCGGAAGACGACGAGCCCGACGAGCGCCCCTACCCCCGCACCGAGCCGGGCGTGTGGACTGTGCGGGTGGAGGACGGCAGGCCGGCGATGGCGCCTGCGCCTACCATGCGCCCGCAGCCTCGCGTGGCCTCCACGGGCTGCCGGGGCATGCCCTCGGGCGGTGGGGGGCGCGACCGCGACGGCGACGACCAAAGATACCAGCGACACACCTGGAAGGACACCCTCCTCGGCCTGGGACGGGCAACTGCTCCCCCCCGGCCAAGGAACGGCAGCGCAGCCGGACCCCGATCTCCCGCCATCGGCAAGGTGCGTCACGCGGAAGACACATGTGCAGCGACAAGACTCTGCCCCACGTCCCCGGCAAGAGCAAGGAACCGGCAACGCGCGCGGCTTCGACGCGCCCATCAAAGCCAAAGGGAAAGGAGACCGCGCCGAGCAGGCGACTCCACGACGGTGAAGGCACGAGCAGCGGCGTCTCCCTCCTTGCCCCGCCTCGCCAGCTCGCCAAGCGCACTGCACCGGCCCCTGGCGCAGACCCGGTGGCCGAGTTCTTCGAGGGCGCCCAAGACACCCTGCCTCCCCCGCCTCCCCGCGCCGACGCCCATGCTCCGGTGATCGACCAGATGATAGCCGCCAAGCTGGCCAAGCCACTCGCTTTCGACGCTGATGAAGGGGGGACAGCAGCGGCTCCCTGGACCTGGGGCCTGCTCTCTCCCTAGCAGTGACCGGCTGGCAGCCGGTCAGAGACAAGACACCCCTCAAGACCAGGGTAGTGCCCAAGCCAACTCGACAGAGCCTCAGGCAAGCCAGCAATCCATCACCAGTGCCAGTCTCCCAGAGGGCAACGCTGCGTCAGGTGCACGGGCTTGGGATCCTTGGCCCAAAGGAGAAGATGACGACCCAGGCAGCGGAGGCCCTCATTCGCCGCTTCGACGAACCGCTGACGGACTCCGACATTGCTGCCATAGCGAAGCTCACCTGCCTCGACCCCAG